TTTTTCCGAGGACTGGTCACTCCCAGCAACCTGTTCAAAGCTGGTAACAACGAAGTTTCATCATCTTTGCCTGTAAGGAGCACCCTGGTTGGACTTCCTCCAAGATAGGGTTATTTGTTCTTTTGATCCATGGGATACGCAGTACTCTTCTACTCTACCATAATTCAAAAATACAATTCTTCTGTTGGTCTTAGCCATTGCCCAACTTTCAGATGTGTAGAAAGTAATTAAAAAGACCATGTCTTGGATCAGGCCTAACTGACACCATAGCTCTTCAGCACTTTGGCAAGGTCCTTGACAGATTTTCCCAATATGGCAGGTCTTTTATCTCCTGAGTGCTGTTAAAACAGGCTTGATTGTGGATCCACATAAAATAAATTCCTTGACAAATTCAATCTTCTCTCTACTTACCATGATTGTTGCCCACTGGTCCACTGGAAAGGATTTCTTGATATCCAGATGTAGTACTTATTGACTGTGATATTCTGCAGGAAGTGCTTCATTCAAGTTTTCTTCATTTTATGTAAGCAGGGTTGTGTCATGTGCATTACACAGGGTGCTGATGAGTCTTCCTCTAATCCTTATGCCACATTCTACTTCATAAAAGTCCAGCTGCTCTAATGATCAGTTCAGCGTACATACTGAGTAAGTATTGAGAAAGAATACAACCTTTATGCATACCTTTTCTGATTTTAAATCATGTAGTGTGCCACGTTCTGTTCAGAAAACTGCTTCTATATACTGGTCTATATACAGGTTTCACAGAAGGACAGGTAAGTACTCTGGGGTTCCCATTCTTCTCAATGTTAGCCATAATTTTTTATGATCCATAGTAATTCCTGAAACTCCTTATTAAACCCTCTATATTTGACCTTTTTTTGCTGACATTGCAAGACAATTTTATTTAGCTTCCAAATCTCTACCTTGACCTCTATGCAAAAAAACAAAATTATTCATAAAAAGCAAAAAACAACAAATCAATTTGTTGCCATCAAGTCAATTCCTACTCACAGTAACTCAGTAGGACAGAACAGAAAGAAGTGTATTTTTAACACAAGAATAACAACTAAAAACCACAACAAAACTGCCTATAAGATTTCCTGACTGTAAAGCTTTACATATGCAGACTACTTATTATTTCTCCCAGAGTTTGAATTACTAACTTTTTCATTGCCAGTTTGCTTTTTACCCATAGCACCACCACGACTCCTCTACTTCCGCTTTACAATATACTCTTAAAAAGAATGAAATAAAATCATATGGTAACACTTTGTGCCTCCAAATTATTAACATCTAAGATTAAGTTGTCCTTTGTAAGAACCAGTCCTTATAAAGATGTTGTTGTTTGTTGTTATGTGCCGTCGAGTCGCCTGCGACTCATAGCGACCCTATGTACAACAGCCCTAAACTCCGCTCTGTCCTGTGCCAATTGGACTGGTTCTGACACTCCCATCCCAATTATCCCAGTTACTGAATCAATCCACCTCATAGAGGGCCTTCCTCTCCTGCGCTGTCCCTCTACCCTCCCAAG